CACATGGGATCAAAAATGAAAAAAAAATTCGGCCCACCGTCCGCCCACGAACCACCCGCCCTTAGGGGGTAACTTGAACTTATTCATTTGAGACCAAGTTCTATAAGCGAGATTTAGCAAGAAAATGTAATATAACTGCAGCGCATTCTGTTGACTAGAACCTCATGGAAAGCCACGAAGTGTAGTTCAAAGATAGCATCTTAGTATCTTATTGGGCTGTGCAAACCGCTCCTCTGAAGAATTCATTTTATAAGTTAGGGCAGGAGGTACTGAGGATGGAAGCGTGGGACCCCACCCTCAACCACCCTTATAATCACGCAGAAAGTTAATAGCTTTACACCAAGCTAATTCACCGAGAGTTAACAAGAAAACATTTTAAACTGCAGCGCCATCTGTTGAACATTACAACAACATCTGTTCAACAGATGGCGCTGCAGTTTTATTTCATACTTGCTTTACTCTCGCGGATGTAGTTTGGTCTCGAGTATTTAACTTTCTGCGTGATCCCAACAGCGGTCGTGGGTACGGTCCCACGTTTCGCCATCTGAGAAATAATGTTCAAAAGATGGCGCTTTTTATTATTTCATATGAATGTGAATATTATGGAAGCGTCCCATGCTTCGCCATCTGTGGAGTAATGTTCAAAAGATAGCGCTACTTTTCATTTCATATGAATTCTATGGAAGGGTGGAACTCCACCCTCACCCGCTCTTTGGCTCACGCAGAAAGTTAATAACTCGAGATCAAACTATATCAGCGAGAATTAACAAGAAAATATTTAAAACTGTAGCGCCATCTGTTGAAAATTACTCTACAAGTGATTAACTTTCTTCAGAGGAGCGGTTTGCACAACCCAAAAAGATAGTAAGACGCTACATTTTAACTACACTTGGTGGCTTTCCATGAGGTTTTTAAGTGTGAAAACAAACCAAATCCTATAACGTGGTATGTTACACATTAACGACAAATGTAAGAAAAAACTTAATTCACAGATAATCAACGAAGTCCATAAACTATTACAAAGTACACAGTATGAACACTGGGAGGAAGGGTTCAACATGGGCTTTAAGCCTTTATTTCAATCCAAATGGTACACAGTACTAGATGCATCCTTACAGCAAACACTGACCTACAAATAAGAATTACATACATCATCTCACTTACCTTCCATGTCACAGTCATTACCACTCTGACACCAACTACAAATTACCTTTCAATTAGGCAAACACACTCTGCCAAAAACATAAATAACAAAATTTATTCAATCTCATGCAGGTAGATATCTCTAATTTTGCAGTTTCCTTTACGACATGACTCCTAGCATAGCCCTTCTTTATTCATTGGCCCCAACAATCCCTATACGAATAACTTTATTTTTAATTCTGCATAGTCTTATTCTTATATTAACCTTCAACACTTGGCAATGATTTTCATTATACATTGCTTCATGATAATAAATGACTACCTTGAAAGAACACAATTTGGAAGCTACAAGTAACCTGCTATAGGCATATCCGGACAGAAACATTTTAACAAACAGCACCATACATGAGATGACACTAGACTGAATTGCTGTTACCATCCATATAGACAAACAATTCAATGTCTTGCCACACTGGTTCACAAAGACTGTATGGAGCAGAAGACAACAACTGATTCATGTGTTCAACTTCCAACCCACCTGCAACCCATCTCAATTCCTACAAACAAAACCTCATTGGACAAACCCCAATGTCAGTGTGTAATCAATTTCCAGTGCTTCACAGAAATGTCTGATTCCATTCTGATGAACCTGGAGAACAGCAGGTGATTGGATGTTCTCGTCATGTATTTGGTCATGGTCAGCACCATTTAACATGGATAATGTGGAATGAAGCAAGCAGTCCCAGTACTTGTGTGTCAATGGTTATGCTTTGCTGATGTACACTGGTAGCTAGGTTCTCAGACAGAGTTACACTAAATCCCATTTCTCTGATGATGTCAGGATGTTACCCGGTCTCAAGGGCCACTAGTATACATGTACCAGCTCCAAACATAATGCAGTACTGCATACAATTAACTACAGGATACCACAGCAATAACTACAACTACTGAATTACAGTACCCACTACAACTACAGTGTACAAAAGTACTGGCAAGAACTACACATGCCACACTACTGGCTACAACTACATAGTATATGCCCACCAGTCCAGCCCTGTTATATCCCAAGGAACATGAATACAGGATTCAGTCCAGGCTAATCACTAACCCTGGCTACCAGCATACATCAATGAAGAAGCACCTTCAACACTCAGGCACTAGTAACATTTCCTAGCACCTGAGTTTTCCAATGTTAGGAAATAAGGAGTTACTCTGGATATAAGTCAACCCTTGACTTCAGCCACTGTTCTCTCCGTTAGTCCATTTTCAACGAGGACATCAGATTCCAAGAGCAACTGTATGTATACACTGGCCACATTGCTGCATCACTCATACAATTAATCCCTCATGATGGATGATGAGACTGCCATTAAAATGGAAATTCATTCCTTATTCATCACGCTAACCACCCAATCAAAACACTGCTTCACAGCCTGTCTACAAAATATTTAAAAAATGATATGGGTACAGTAGACCGCCTGTGGTCTAGTGGTCAGAGTTCCTGGCTACAGTTTCCTGGCACTACCAGATTTTCTGAGAAGTAGTGGTCTAGAACGGGGTCCACTCAGCCTTGTGAAGATAACTGAGGAGCTATTTCAAGGAAATTGCGGCTCTGGTCTAGAAAACCGATATCAACGGACGTAGGGAGCATTTACGCTGACATGACACCCTCTATCGGCAAAAGTTGGCACTAACTTCGCCAACAAACAGCGTTACCTCGGTCAGTATAGTTCGCTTGCGAACTGCAGGCCACAGAGTTTATGGGTACAGTAACTGCTGATAGCAGGTAAAAGCACTCTGTTCTTTAAGAGGGATGTGTGTTGCTGCATATAATTTCAATAATTCATGAACTATTCAATGTAGCTTTCTCACTTCTGGCGTAGGCTGACAAATACTTAGGCACATAATGTTTCTTTGTCATATTCAATGTGTGAGCATGAGACTGGACACTGCAGCCATACTGTATACTGTGTCAGGCAAACCCTCAGGTACTAAATTTTTACATTTTTATTAGGATGGGCATGACATCAGATGAACAATTATTTCCTTTTTCCACATCCTTCTGTTTTTCTGATAATGTGTGTTGGTTGATATCTCCACCACTGCAACAGAACACAGATGAGTTAACACCATGTCTGACAAACTTGAGATACAGTATAACTTTGCTTGTACGTACAAACGCAATAAATTAAATTTCTTGTAATTGATATTATAAGTGTGTCTTTTTGACTTCATCCACTCAAGGGTTCACAAGTCTACTTTACGACTGTAGATAAAACACAGTCCCAACTCCTGCTACTCTGATACTCGACACAGAGTGAGTGGTACACACTACTGTTCTCCTTCAATAAATACTGCCATGACAAAATTTTTCCTGTTTTATTTCACAGTAAGAAGTTCACACATATGAACTGTCCCATTCTGATAAACAGTAAAGTGTAGCCATGCCTACAGCTGGGTCTGTTGATGTAAGCCTAATACATTAGGAAAGAAAAACTGAATGAACAATTATATATATCTTACATCATATTAATATTAAATACTGGAACCATACTTGGATCATAATTCAAAATGGAACTTAATTAACACTGAAATCAAAATATGACATATTATCAGAGTGTATGAGTAATTAACAAAAGAATGAATACTCTGATGACAGAAGCTGAAACACAGAAAAGCAATCCTACTCAAAAATATTATGTATGTAACTTAACTCAAGTACCTTTCATAAAAGAATTAATGTTATACAGAGTACAATTTAAAAAATACATGGCATAACTTCAGGAATGGGTTCCTCATATAAAGATAATAAAAACAGTCCATATCAACATAGTTCCGGAAAAGCAGTTTCCAAATCAAGGCTTTCTAAAACTGCTGAATGATAAGTTCAATTTTGTAACTCCCACAGATGGTTTCTGTCATTCACTACACTAAGACAGTCGTGGTATCAATCTGACACAATCTCAGATAGCTTCCAAATCTTAGTAGAATTGTACAGTAATTATGTGGTGACTGCAAGTTGCTGAGATGATGTACTCAAATCAAGAGCTAGCTGATGTGCACTTCATGTTCTGTTTGGCAGACAGTAATGCTGTGGTGACTCGATTGTACCAAGAAAGGTATCCAGGATGAACATGTCCAGATAGGAAAACATTTCTAAGTATCCATTGCCAACTTTGTGAACATGGGAATTTTGCACCTTGTGTTCCCAATGGGGTGAGCATAATCTGTGACTCCTGAAGCAGAGGATATTCTGGATGTTGTGACTGAAACTCCTGGAATTAGCACACAAAGGGTATCAATGCAAGTAGGCATCACTTATTCGACTGTCTGGAGAGTGTTTCAGAAACAACAGCTGTATCCCTACCATCTGCAGCGTGTAACTACAACATTACTCGGTGAGTAATGTTCTGCCAGTGGTTCTTACAACAGTGTGGTAGAAATCCTAACTTCCCTGCCTTGGTGATATTTATGGATGAAGCAGAGTCCATGGGTGGAATTGAGAATTTTCAACACTATAACAAAAACTTAAAACAGAGGCAGAAAAAACAATATATGCATGTGTATGTGTATTTACTTAGTAGCACTGTCAAGACATGAAGCAACACTTAAAGGCTTACAATAAATTGTTCACTGCAGACCAAAATAAATACATACACTAGCACTGTCAAAAAATGAAGTAAGAGTTCAATGCTTACAACAATATGTTCAAAACATATCTAAAACTGGATGCACACACTAGCACTGTCAACTGTTAAACAATGGCTCACAATAAATGTTCACTGGAGAGCCCCCCCCCCAAAAAAAAACAACAATACCACTGTCAACAGATGAATTTAACACACAATGAGGCTCACAATGAGATGTTCATTGCAGAACCAAAAAAAGAAACACTAACTAGCACTGTCAACATATGAAGCAACATTTTAATGAATAAATGGATGCTTAAGGGGTGGGCCACAATAATCTAGCCCTTGTACTGCAACCTCCAATGATCTGTTCTGCTTCCCCCTTTGACTGACCCTTTATCAATCCTACACTTAGAATGAAATGTATGACTTTGTTAATGGTAGTGTCACAGGAGTCACTTGGTTCCATAAAAAAGTGGCCCAGGTGACAAAATCTTAAAAAAGTTATGGCATCACAAACACATAGGATGTGTGTGGCTGAAGCAAACAAAGGCTTACAATAAGAAGTTCAATGCAGATAAAAAACACCACACACTAGCCCTGTCAACAGATGAAGCAAAACTTAAAGAAAGGCTTACCATGGCATGTTCACTGCAGACCAAAAAAGTAAAAATACACACTAGTACAGTCTTCACATGAAAACAAACAAAAAAGTAAAGGTAAAGTTATCTTTGTAAAAGGATGTGGAGTCCCATGAGGTTGAAATGTCGAGGCTCCCACATTTTCTAGATAATTGGCTCAAGAGTTGGTGGTGAGGAGCTCGCCAGCCACCCTCTATCCCCAGGAAGATTTCTGGTACTCATTTCTGTTAGAGGCTGGGTTGACTCCAGGTCCATAGTGTGGCTGGAAGGATTAGGTAAACTGAAAAAAATCCCACATTTTCTAGACAATCGGCTCACAGATAGCAGTGAGGCTGTGAGCCTTAAGCTCTGGCCAGCTACCCTTTACCCCCAGAAAGATTCCTAGTACTCATTTCTGTTAAAGGCTCAGTTGACCCCAGGGCCAAAGTGCAGCTGGAAGGATTAAGTCAACTGAAATAATCCAATGACCTCATCAGGAATCAAACTCGCGACCTTCTGGCTTGTAGCATAGTTACTCAACAAAGTACACTACTGCATGCCCCCTCCACTTAATCAAACGCTTAAGAGAAAATGCTCACTGCAGAAAAAAAAATATGCACGCATTACATACTTACTAGCATTGTCAATAGATGAAGTAAAACTTAAAAAAAGGCTTACAATAAAATGATCACTTCACATCCAAAAAAACTAGCACTGTATACAGATGAAGCAGCACTTAGAGGCTCACACTACATTTTCCATAAAATGAGCACTTCAGATGCAAAAAATGAGCACTCAACAGATGAAGCAACACTTAAACAAACCCTCACAGTAAAATTTCCAACATTTATACAAGAAAGGAAACATACATTAGAACTGTCAACAGATGAAGTAACTGAATTCAGGATTTCTGCATCTAAGTGCAACATAGTTCACTGTTCCTTTCTTACGCACTATTTCACTACATGTTTTGACCTACATGGTCATCTTCAGGCGTGCAGGCTGTAGTAGTTCGGGACTCTGCTGCTCACTGCAATGCAGTTTTTCTTTCCTCTTACGGCTATTTTTGGTTGTGTGTTCCAAACACTTGTTTTTCTCTAATGTGTGATGCACTATGTTAAAGCTTCTTCAAAGGTATTATGTATATTCAGTTACTGTACATGTGGTCTGACAATAAAGTTCGCGAACTCTTCACAGTAAAAAGTGCTTTACCTCATTTCTAAATATCACTGTGGTCACCGTCAAAGTACTCCCCTTGGGAAGCTACGCACCGATCCCAGTGCCTAGTCCGCCCTTCAAAACAGTTTTGGAACTAGTTTTGTGGAACGGCCTTCAGAACTGCTATCATTATTATTCCTGATGTCATCGTTATCAAAGTGCCTTCCTTTCAATGTTTCCTTTATCTTTGGGAACAGAAAAACTTCACTGGGGGCTAGATCCGTTGAATAGGGAGGGTGTTCCAGCATAGTCACATGTTTACTAGCTAAAAACTCCCTCACAGATGCCATGTGAGCAGGTGCATTGTCATGATGCAAGATCCATGAGTTGTTGGTAAAAAGTTTCCATTTAACTTTTTCACACAACCTTTTCAGTACCTCAAATAGTAAACTTGGTTGACTGTTTGCCCAGTTGGTACAAACTCATAATGAAAAATCCCTCTAATATCAAATAAAGTTAGCAACATTGTTTTGACTCTTGATTATGACTGATGGAACACTTTTGGTCGTGGAGAATTGGTTGTCTTCCACCGTTCACTTTGCCACTTCCTTTCAGGATCGTATTGGTTGACCCATGTTTCATCACCTGTGATGACACAGCCCAAAATGTCATTTTGCCTCTGCAAAAGGTCTTGCCAAATTTTGACTCTTCTTTGCTTTTGTTCTTTGGTGAGCTCCTTTGGGACCAATTTTTGCACACAATTTCCTCATGTTAAGATCTTCAGTTAAGATTTTCCAGGTTCTCTGTAGATGTTCACTTGCTCTGCCATGCTCCTGACAGTCAGCAGACGACTTTCACACACAATGTGATCAACTTTTACAATGCTTTCTTCAGTTCTGTTTGTTGCCGGCCTTGATGATGTCTCTTTGAAAATGTGGCACAGTTCATATTTGAGAACAACGATAACACATCAAAACCTGATTCAGGATGAAATTAAGAGACTGAACTCTGGTAATGCTTGTTACCATTCAGTGCAGAACCTTCTGTCTTCCGGTCTGCATCCTAAAAACATAAAAATTATAATATACAAAATTATAATTTTGCCTTTGGTTCTGTATGGGTGTGAAACTTTGTCTCTGACATTAAGGGAGGAATGAAGACTGAGGGTATTTGAGAACAGTGTTAAGGAGAATATTTGGACCAGAGAGCGATGAAGCGACTGGCGGCTGGAGAAAACTGCATGAGGAGGAGCTTCATAACTTGTACTTTTCTCCAAGTATAATCAGAATAATCAAGTCAAGGAGCATGAGATGGGTAGGACAAGTAGAACAAACACCGGAGAGGAGGAATGCATATGGGATACTGGCAGGAAAGCCACCACTAGGAAGACGAAGACGTAGGTAGGTGGGGATGGTACAGTATGGACTAAATTGATCGGGCTCAGGATAGGGACCAGTGGAGGGCTCTTGTGAACATGGTAATGAACTTTCGGGTTCTATAAAATGCTGGGAAAATCTTGATTAGTTGCGCAACTGGCAGCTTCTCAAGAAGGACTCAGCTCCATGAGTGACTAGAAATGTTAACAGATGAAGTAACACTTAGAAAAAACTTAAAATAAAATGTCCGACACAGACGCAAAAAATAGCACTGTCAACAGAAGAACACTTAAACACAGACCTACCATAAAATATTCAGAGCTGACCCATAAAATGATGGACACACTAGCATTGTCAATGGATGAAGTATCACTTACACAAGGGTTACAATAAGATATTCACTGCAGATCCTAAAAATTAAACACATGCACTGTAAACATATGAAATAATATTTAAAGGCTAACTATAAAATATTCACTGCAGGTCCAAAAAAGGAAACACACTTTGAATATCAACAGATGAAACACCACCAGTAAGCAAAGACTTACAATATGATACACAGGTCCTGGCATAATTTACAGAGCTACTACTTGTACTACTTGTACAACCGGTACGGACCCGGTATATACCCTTCCTTTAAAACCAGGACGATGGATAAAGTCCGAAAACCCAATATCTCTGTGTGTTATACATCATCATCAGAATCCTATAGTAACTACTTGTACATCATAAAGTTGGACATTAGGCAATGATATGCTTCCTATTTTTATTTGTACAGAATGCGAATGGTATTTGAATACCTTTTCCCTGAAATCAATTAAGTTGTTCCTTGATACCGGTGACATCAGTGCTAGCCCAAAGTCAGTCTTACTTGAAATTTGCATCCTACATCCTATGTATCTGTCACTGACATATTTTCAGCATACTTACGTATTAAAAAATTATGCGGCAAACTTTGACATATTTAAATGATGATAGCTTAAAAGGTCGTCCAATGGTGGTAACGTGTCGATGTGGTGACTGCCTTCATTAAAGTATCTAACATTCTTAAACTTGGACCTATCATGGCTTAACTCCCTACTTTAAAAATTGGTTCAAAATATTTCAAAGCTAACGGATAATAATTCACAGGTCTGAAATCTTTCATAAACTCTTATGGGCTACACGTTTAGTTGCTGTACATTTCTTCAAAGATCAAATTATTAATCGGTTCAATAAACACACCAAATATTTCCGCCGCAAAAATTTCGATATACCGAAAAACACCACGGCACTATCGATAGCGTACAAAGCGCAGCAGTAATAGTACGGAGATTCACCGTCAGGTGGCTGTGAATATCTCTTTAGATTGTAGTGACATCTGCATAAACGGACGAATTCAAGAACTACATTCATTTACGTAGTAGTTACGATAGTTCAACATCTCTTTCTCACTTTTCTTTGGTCGGGAATTTAATGATGCTGTTAGTATGTCGACTACACGGAGTCGATAGGCGTGACAAAAATCATTACGGTAATCGGTCGCGCGGGGCCCAGAACCAAGAATGACTGTGCTAGCAAAGAGCACAGCGATTTACCCGAAACCGAATAGATTATACAGTGTGCGATTGTAGGTTCATTGACGGATTATTAATTTAAAAATACTTGAAAGGTGTCCTATTCGAGATACTATCCAGGAATTTTCATACAGGGACTTAGAAAAATCACGAAATAACGTAGTAATAGCAGGTGTTCCTGCCGAGATTCGAACAGAATACCCATACAATTAGCGTATACAACATGACTGCCAGACATCCCTCTTCATGTGGCCGTACAGGTATTAAGCGTGAAATTAACTGTTCACCTCCACACGCTGCCAAAGTTAAGGATGCACCTCTGTGATCACTACAAGTTCCAGTGTCGTGATAACTAATAAAAACAACTACCGTTTATCTGATCCTATCGAAAGTTACAAGTTTCATCTACAACATTTTTGTGACAACCAGTAACCATCTGCACGTAAAGTTGCAGTGCACAGTGTTCAGTTTGAGCTGAATCATAAATATCACAGACGCCCTAAAATAGTCAGCGTCCGTATAAGATCTTAGTTCTTCCAATAAAACTGGAGTATAATTATTTCTAATACACAGAAACTAGATAGGATGGGATGGTACTGATTTGATTGATCTGGCTCAGGATAGGGACGAGTGGAGGGCTCTTGTGAACACGGTAATGAACCTTAGGGTTCCATAAAATATTCGGAAATTCTTGAGTAGCTGCAGAATTGGCGGCTCCTCCAGAAGGGCTCAGCTCCACGAGTAAGTAAGTAAGTAAGTAAGTAAGTAAGTACAAGCAACTTACAAATAAGTTGCATTTTCCTAAGCCCACAGTCGTTCTGAAAGTTAACAAAACTCTTAAACAAAGTAAACTGTAGATGTGTTTGCAAGTTGCAAAGCAATGCTTGTTTTCTTATAAGGTAAAGCTCTCCCTGTGCTTACTCGAGTAAGTAACATTCCAAAAAAGCTTATGGGGGAGTGGAGTTATGGCTCCATTGTTCTTGAACTCTGTCCTGGATGGAGGTGAGTGATCAGCTTCACGACCCGGTCGCATTAGCTTCAGGGGAAAAGTCCCAGTACCCGTTAGACTGAAAGCTTAGCGGGACCCACAGCTGATCCGTAAGCTGTGGAATAGAGAAAACTTCTTGCCCTTGACGAGAATTGAACCCCGGTCTTCCAGCTCGTAGCTCGCCAGTATACCGACTGAACTATCCCAACTTCTGTTTTGTTATAAGTAAATATTTTAAGACTTCTGTCTCCTTGATGTGACGCTATGCAGTTTGGTAGATAAATGCTGATCTTTCGGAGAAATCCGCTGTTTCTGCCTTCAGAATAAAGAATCACTTCTTCTACCTACAACCATAGCTAGGACAGGTACTGATCAGGAACGCGAAACGATAGCTAAGGGTCTGTAACACGCTACCTGCCCTTACCCAAAGATTGTAATGTAGGAAGAAGAAACATAGTGTTACGCTTTTAGTGACACCCACGGGGTTCGGATTGGTAATCGGACTTACTGAACTCTTACAGCTCGTGACTACAAGTAAGGCTTATGCTCTCGCTGTTCTACACACTTCATAAAACACTACAGGACACACCATGTCATCTCAGTCTGTTACAGTCCTCACTAGTCGTTGCTTGGTAGCCGCTTCCAACGGCGGACCTTCCCCTTCCTCTGGGTTCCCGAACTGTCTCCAGACTCAGCTACCAGCTTCTCACAGCAGCAGCTCACAACAACTGAACCCCAGCGGTCATCTAACTGACTGACTGTTAAATTGCTGCTGGTCCTCGCCAGTAGAGTGATTCTTGGTTATGAGCCCCCATGGGATCCATGACCACATTTCATAGTCTGACGGCTATGGGAGAATTCAGACTCCTCTTCCTCTGACTGATTGATTCCTAAATTGTTCTGCTTATAAAATTTCTGCAGGGACCGCACAGAGAACACCGTTCCTGTGTTGCAATGCAATTGTTGCTTAACGATGACATGACGTATTCCATTGTTCTTTGTGTACCAGAAAGTTTATCCTCGGAGATAAAAGAGGCTGAAGTGTCAAGATCACCATCTATCTGCATTTAGTGCAGAGGCTAAGAATGCGTGGCGCTTTACCTCCACTCCTCCATCCGTCTTCCTGTGGCCATGCTTAAGCAGAGAGATAATTTTACATTTACCTTACTTTATGTGTGACAGAACAGAGGAGACGTGTCTGATATCTGTACGCCGATTTGCTAGAAGATTATCAGAATAGGGGATGTGAGATGGGCTGATAGCATGAATGAGAGAATTGAGAAAAGTATACACAATTTTAGTCGAAAAATCTGAAAAGGAGGTTAGTGGGAGACCTAGAATTATGTGGGTGGAAAATATTTATTGATTAAATACTCTGTAAAAATGTGGGCAGGATTCATCTGGCTCCTTACAGGGACCAACGGAAGGATCTCATTAACACGACAATGAACCTTCAGTTTCCATATAAGAAGGAGAAGTTCTTGACCTGATGAGAGGCTACTAGCTTTCCCAAGAAGTGACCAACTTCAGGGGTTAATTAATCCCTACAGGTTACTGAGGGATTTTTTTCCTTAGCACTACAGCCCCAGTGGGCCTAGGCCTACCTCCATGAACTTCTCCATTCACTTCGGTTTTTCTTGATCTTACACATTCGGTAGGACTCCTTGGGTGGGTGATCAGCTCGTCGCAAGGCCTCTACCTGTACACAAACACAGAAAAACACACACACACAAAATCCCTGAGTGCGATTCGAACCCACGATCCCGGTTTCCAAGCGAGCGAAGACAGTACATGCCTACTGAGGGATTACCGTACATTAAATCATTCATTTGGTGTTGTCTTCAGTATCTGGACTTTTCATCATATGGAATCAAGTTAAAAACCTGGGCATTCCAAATGGGATCTACTGTTAATTAAATTATTCTGACTCAGACAAGATCATTTCGTTTCATAACCCCTTATTAATAACTCAGTAACACAGATACAGAAAACTCCGTGGTCTGTAGTCCGCAAGCGAACTATACCGACCGAGCAACTGCCGCTTTTCGGCGAAGTTAGTGCCAACTTCAGCGGATAGATGGTGTCACGTGGTCGGCACAACGGTTCCCCACGGGCGTTAATCTCGGTTTTCTAGACCGGACAGTAACACAGATACATACAAATACGCCATATTTGTTGTTCAACCGATCTACCATTAGAATTTAGTGGGGCCATAAGAAATTAGAACCAAGAGTCTATTGGACAACCCTAGTGGGTTAGAGCAGGACCCCCTGCCTGGCTAGCGGCGCTATATTGCAAACCTTACTGAAATAAGTACCAATTAAATCCTACCATTTAAACGATGTATATGTTCTGATCAACGGGGGAATGATTTTGCTACTATTTTTCATCACAACGAGCTCATTTTCTTTGTTCTTTGTCGAATTTCAAACGCACAGATTCCAGACTGTTTAACCCCATCAGACGAAAGGATCTCCATCAGTAATCTTCACCTGCTGGAAGGAGATATGCAACCTGACATTGGAGATTAATGATGGCATAAGAGGCGTGCCTAAGGAGACACAGCAATCCGCAAGAGATGTCTGTAGTGCCTAATCAATATGAGTAGCTGCCCTAGGAAATCCGTTTCTGTCCGTGCCATGTTATTAAGACCTAACTACCATTTGCAAACAGCGAGCTGTAGATTAATTAGGCATAGGTTGACTTTGATATGCTGTTTGAGGTTTTAATATTTGATCTAGGAATCTTCTACGAATGGTTTCAAAGGCTGTGTATATCAGCGTAACATTTGGAAAATTCAGCTTTAAAAAATTATCACTACTTAAACCCAGGGCCTGAGTACCTGAGTTCCAGAAGTGTTCGAGATATGAACAGTCTCTGAGTACTACCATGTGGTACATGCAGTCGTAACTCAGTGTCCTATGGTGACATGCAGGCACACTAAACTCTGCATCAAATATGAGAAACCTATTCACGGTATTCAGAATATTTGATAAAAGGGAAGCAGGGATAATTTTATTATTGATGCGTAGTGTGCTGCACGAGACATTAAAATTTTAGGTTCTTTACCCTTTTCTTTTTGTTTACCGAACGTATTCTTTTGTAGGTCCTTTACGGAATAAGTCGATATCTGCTGAGTTCTGTTTCGTTTTGAGTGCCATAAATAATATTTGAGACTAATATAGCATCGGATATAAATAAAATTAAAGAGAACCGCTGATAAATTATTATTTATAAGTCCAATATTGGTAAATTGTTTAGCCCAAACTCATATAAATTTCTCCGACTATGTGTAATGTTAGGCACAAGATCTGTAAACCGTTGACTGTCGTTGAACTGCCGATATTTTTGTCGCTTTTTATTTAACTGAAACATTAATTCATTTATAATAACCTGCCATTATGCCCCACCACGAGCCAGATGAATTCAATCCATATCCTCTAATCATATTTCCTTAAAATTCATTACAATATTATCGTCTAATCCAAGTATAAGTCTACAAAATGTGTCCTCCCTTTACCAGAATTTACAGAATATAAAATTGAGTATACTTGCAGCTGGGCTGCGCCATAGCTCAAGCGGTTAGTCGCTGGCTTCCCACCGCGGCGGCCCGGGTTCGATCCCGGGGTCTGGTCAAGTGGGATTTGTGGTGGACAAAGTGGCGCTGGGGCAGGTTTTCTCCGAGTACTTCGGTTTCCCCTGCCAAT